CACAGATCTCTAGAATAGTTATCAAATGGGTGTGGGACTTGATTTTTTTAAAGATCTATACCAAATTTAATAGTGCTCATTTGTGGTCCTACACACATGAGTGTGGGAGGGTCTCATAGGATCATTACTCTTATAATATATAGTATATTATAAGATATTTAAATATGGGTAGCCTGGGTTCTGAACATTCAAATTTGAGCCTACCTTCAAATAGTGTTGAGAATGTAGTTTCAATGCTAGAAATGTTGGAAATCTTTGTCATAGCCTTATTTATTATAAAGTTTAAAGCTTCAAAAATAGTGTCGATGGACTGATCTATGGAAACTTGAAAAGCTTGAAAATTGACGGTCAAAAAATACGTTACAAAATGCACTATTTCCAAAACTTGAAATCCATTTTTTTTTGAGAAAATTACCAAAAACACCCCCAAGACTACACTTACCATGCAACTTACCCCCAACCCAACTTATTCTCTCACTTTTTTCCCGTAAGTATACTTTCTATGCAAATACCCCCCAACAAAAAAGTTCATTTTTTTGATGGAAATGCCCTTCCCATACAAAATGCCCCTTTTTCTGACGGAAATGCGCTCCGGTAGTCTCAAAGGGTGCTTTGACAATACATGCTCTAGAGCTACAACACTCCGACAGTTGCACAGGGCACTCCGGCACTGACGACACAACGCTAAGGCAATAGCAGAAGGCGCTCCGTCAGTGCACGTTTTGGAGACAATGCGCTCCGGTAGTCTCAAAGGGTTCTCCGGCAATACATGCTTTGGACCCACAGCGCTCCAGCAGTTGCACAGGGCACTCCGTCACTCGAGAGACATCGCTCCGGCACGCGAGACACATGCGCTCCATCAGTGCATGTTCTGGAGACTACAACACTCCGGCATTTGCAAAAAACGCTCTGGCAGTGGAATAGGGCGCTCCGGAGGTACTTGCGCTGGAGTCACAACACTCTGACAGTATCTGAAGGCGCTCCGACGGTATATGTTCCAGACAGTGTGCTCCAGCAATTTTATACTGCACTTTGGCAATGTGCTACTTGGGTCCAATAGTCAGCGCCAATTGAGTTTTTTGGTACAGGACGTGCATTTTCGTAAAAGAAAGGAACTTTTTTTGTTGGGGGGTATTTGCATAGAAAGTATACTTTTGGAAAAAAAGTGAGAAAATGTTTGGATGGGGGTAAGTTGCATAGATAGTGTATTTTGGGGCTTTTTTTTTCTAATTTTCCCTTTTTTTTCTTATGTCTATGCATGCTGATGTCGAGATGATCAATTTGAGGATATTTAGGCATCAAAACAATATCTTCTAGTGAAAGTTTTGAGGTACGCTCTAATTTGATTGACTTGGCTCAAATTTCAAAAAAAAAAAATTCTCGAATTTCGTGATGTATCAAAAGCTATATAGTTTGACATATAATGGTTAAGAGTGATTGTGACTCTCTTGTAATAATAGTAAATAGTCTCATAATATATAATCTCTTTTACTAACAAAAAAAAAACCTATACAAAACCACCATTTATTAATACTACATTGAGATATTAAATTTCAAATAAGGTGATTGTATGTGATTAACCATTAAAAAAAATTAAAAATCTCAAACCTCGTGAAACACCCAATTTGATATCACCGCTATTAACAATTGTGACCTCTTATATATCAAAGATAGATGGTCACTTGTATACACAATCCCGAAAAAAACATAAAAATGTGGGAACTCTTCCACCTACCCTATTTCTATCTGTACCCACTACTAGTACCGGTGCGCGCATCTACCACGGATTTAATACTACTTTGAAAAAATTAAATCCTATTAATTTACAACGTTGGGGTAGTTGCGCCACATAAAGATTAAGTGTGGAGGCCTTGAGCGCCAAGTTGCTTATGCGAAAACCACATCTTTTTAGCTAGCGCGTAGGCCACCTATTGTCCTCAGGCTTCTGTTATTTAGCTAGCGCGTAGGCCACCTATTGTCCTCAGGCTTCTCTTTTTATTTGCATTGATTGAAAAACATCTCAAATTTTTTTTTTTACCTGTAGAGAGAGAGGAGAGAGATGGAGACAGCAGCAGTGGTCGGTGTTGGTCATGAGGTGCGTCCCCTGCACGTCGCCATGTTCCCGTGGCTAGCCTTTGGTCACATAAACCCTTACGTCTACCTCGCAAACAAGCTCGCCGGGGACGCCGCCACCAGGGTTACCATCGTCTCCGCCCCCGGCAACCTCCCCCAAATCTCCCCATCGATCCTCCTCCCCTCCCTCATCACTCTCCTCCCCCTCCCCCTCCCTCACATCGACGGATTGCCACCGGGCCTCGAGTGCACCACCGATGCCACCTTCCTCCAAGCCGAGCTCCTCAAAGATGCTCTCGACGCAACACAGCCTCAAGTCGTGTCCATCCTCCGGGACCTTGCACCCGACCTCGTCGTCTATGACTTCTCTTACTGCTGGCTCCCCACAGTTGCTCACAAACTCGGCATCCGGGCCGTCTACTTCTCTGTCTTCAGTGCTGCATCAGATGGGTATACGATGGTCTGCGAACGCAGGGCCAATGGCACTTTTCCCACCTCAGAGGAGCTTGAGCGCTCCCCTCTTGGCTTTCCTAGTGGCTGCAACTTTGTGCTCCGGCCCTTCGAGGCCCGGCAATTCATGTATCTGTACACCAGCTTTGCGGGGAAGCCCAGTGTCTATGACCGCGTCACGCGCAGCATCCGCGAGGCCGATGCCCTCTTATTCAAGACCTGTAGCGAGATGGAGGGCCCTTTCTGTGATTACATTGCGGCACAACACAAGAAGCCCATCCTGTTAGCAGGCCCTGCCATTCCGGGCCCAAACCAACAACGGATCGGCATTGCTGCGCTCGACAATGAGTGGTCCACCTGGCTAAGCAGCCACCCAGCCGGGTCGGTCGTGTTCTGCGCATTTGGGAGCGAAACCTTCCTTACCGAAAAGGAAATACAGGAGCTGCTGCTCGGGATCGAGATGACGGGCCTCCCCTTCGCGGTGGTACTAAACTTCCCTTCTCCACACCCAATCCAGAGTCCTATGCCAGAGGGGTTTGAGGAACGGGTGAGGGGGCGTGGAGTCGTAAAAACAGGGTGGGTGCAACAGCGCCTCATCCTTGGCCATGAGTCTGTCGGTGGGTTCCTTTGCCACTCCGGGTTCGGATCACTGATAGAGGGGGTGGTGAGCGGGTGTCAGTTGGTGTTGTTACCATTGAAAGGTGATCAGTTTTTGAATGCGAGACTGATGGGGAGGGAGTTGAGGGTGGGTGTGGAGGTGGAGAGGAGAGCAGAGGATGGTTTCTTTAGGAGGGAGGATGTGTGCAAGGCAGTGAGGTGTGTAATGGTGGAGGCGGATAAAGAGCCAGGAAAGAGGGTAAGGGAAAACCATGAGAGGTTAAAGCAGTTTTTGTTGGATGACAAGGTTCAGTGTAGGACGTTTGAGGAAGACTTTGTTAAGAAGCTGCGTTGTCTGCTGGTTTAATTCATTTTACTCTCCATCCATCTCATTTCATTCTGTATCTCCATCTCATTTCATTCCTGCATCCGTCTCTCTTTGCTGTTTGCCATGTAGATTATTGGGAAAATTAATAATGCCTCCAAAATGAACTTTGTAGATATTCCCCTCTCAATACTTTTTTAGTATAATACCACAAATCCAAAGAATGCGTTTTTATACATAATTAATGGGTCAAAAAATCAAAAAATATATATTAAAATACCCTTTGCCCTTTCCCTCTCTACCCCTCTCTTTTTTTGATCTCTACATGGTTTTATTTTTTTATTCCCTCTTTTCCTCTCTACCCGCCCTCTCCCTCAATTTTTCTCTCTATCAGTTCTCTCTTTATCTCTCTACTACCCTCTCTCTTCTCTCTGCTACTCTACCAACCCTTTCTCAATCTCTCTACCGCTCTCTCTCTCTTCTCTCTCTACCTCTTTCTTTCTCTCTCTCCCCATCTCTTTCTTTTTTTTACCTGCTCTATCTCTTATTATGCAGTCGAAAAAACATCTAAAAAAAATTTAGATGTTTTTTCAATCAATGCAAATAAAAAGAAAAGTTTTTCTTGAGCCCAATATATCCGGTAGCATTTGAATTTTAGTGTTTTCTCAACAAATCTTAATTATTTGAAATTTTATGTGTGTGTTCATAAAAAATAGTTGAATCTTCAAATAATATTTTACATAAAATAAATTTTCTAAAATACCCCCAAAAAGATTCAAGGGATATTTTGATCAATTTGTTTTTCACGAATAATTTTTTCTATATTTTTATTAAATGCACATTTTTTTTATATTTTTATTAGGTTCGCATTGATGAGAGAACACACATCTAAAATTTCAAAAGATTTCGATCAGCAGAAAATAAAATAAAACTCAAGAACTACTAGACGTCCGTGATCGTCAGATCCTCCTAGATTTAATCTAAGCCGTTGGGCTCATATGCC